CCTCAAAAATGTAGTTGATTTTGGTGTTAAGATAGAGTCTTCAGTCTGTGATTCCCCGAAAACGTGCAGGCTGCAGCACCGTAGTGCGCATTCATGGTTTACGGCCTACTTGGAGGATCATGGACTTAGCAAGTAAGGTTATAAGTACCCCAATTGGAGTTGTAAGTATAGTTACCTTATTTATAACCCTAGTTACTAAGTCCCATGATCCTCCAAGTAGGGTTGGGTTGGGGGTTTAGGGTTTAGGGTCCCCAGAGTGATCCAGCGTGACATGTGTCGTCGCTCACAACTTTGCCCGTTTCGCCATTGGGCTCCGCATTGCGTGGCGCAACGTTTTCAGTGTTCTCAGCCGACTCCCACGCGCGCCCCGTGTTCCGGAACGAAGCTGCGTTCCGAGGTCTTGTCGCTTGGCCGCCTTAGCGAAGCCATCCTTGTTCAGGAATTCAGTTTCAAGTTACCACATTAGGAACCTATAAGGGGTCCTTGCAGGGATTTATAATGTTTCCTTTAAGGGTGTGGAGCTTAAGGTTGAAGTTACCATAATGGGGATCTATAGCAAATTATGGTAACTTGAACTATCCCTTAACAAGAATCCCAGTCGTCGTCCCGTCCCATTTATAGTTTGGGTTAGAGCTTCGAACGACAGACGAAGTCTTGTTGCGAGAGGAACCGAACCCAGTCAGCCAGTCTGGAAGGATGAGCTTGTTTAGGCACGTGTCACATGCCAGCTAAACCCTGAAATCCTAAACCCTTAACCCCTGAACCCTTAAACCCTGAACCCCTAACCCTAAAAAAAGCGAGTGCGTGAGGTTGTATCAGTGTACAGCTCACCCAAAGAATCGCCGAGGCAGACCTCCAAACTCACTCCATGCAAGCCTTCCGTGGCCAGGGCACGACCGAACCCGCTTAATTAAGAAATATACCGTACCATACCGTACCCATAGGCCCCGAACTAGTTCCTTTTTGGGCTTACCTTATGGGGTTCTAATGAACCCCAAAAAGGAACTACTTTGGGGCCTTAGGGTAAATTATAATAGGATCCCTAGTATGATTTAAGGATATTTACCAGGACCCTCCTTGTACCCTCAAATAGGGGTATATGGTCCCAAATACGGGGCTTTTAGGGTCTAATTGAGGGTAGATGGAGGGTCTACTTGGAGGGTCGGGGGACTTAGTAACTGGCTATTTTAGGGACTTATAAGTACCATAACCCCAATTAGGGTCCCTTTTAGGGTACTTATAAGTCTACTTACTACCTACTTACTAAGTCCCTAAACCCTAAACCCTATAGTACCCCTATAGAGCTCTTTAAAGGAACCCCTATAATCCCCTTTAAAAACGAGCACCTACTTACTAAGTCCCCCGACCCTCTAAGTAGGGGTCCTTATTAAGGGTCCCTCCTTTTCCCCTTTGATACACCCTAAACCCTAAACCCTTTATAGAATCCTTATAGATCCCTTTAAAGGGACCCTTATAGATCCATGTATAATTCTGAATTGGAACCCAAAAAAGTATAGGCAGTTATGATGGCCCCTATATTATAGTACCCTTATAGATCCCTTATAGTAACCTCTATACACCCCTTTAAAGGAACCCTAGGAACCCAAAAGGCAGATCCTTTGTATAATTCTGAATTGGGGGTCTTGGAGCCTCGGGGCGCGGCCAGTGCACCACCGAACTGAAACAGCGCAGCGTCACGAGCCCATGTGGGAGTTTTCCGAAAATTCCGGGGGTACCTTATTTTGGGGGGTCCTTATAACAAGGATCCTACTATTTAGGGGTACTATCTTAGGGCCCCCCCTACTTTCGCAAACTCCAAACCCTAAGCCCTTTATAGAACCCTTACAGAGCCCTTTAAGGAACCCGTTAAAGGGTCCCCCTATCTTCGGAAAACGCCCCATGTTGTTGAAAACACCAGGGATGATGCCCCTCGCCGTTGGAGCCGTGCAGCCAGGCCAGGTGTGAGAGCTATTCTGATTCTGGGAGTTTTCTGAAAATATGGGACCCTAGCCTTTAGGGTTTAGGGTTTAGCCTTCAGGGTTCAGGGTTTAGCCTTCAGGGTTCAGGGTTTAGGGTTTAGGGCTAAAACCTAAAATCTGAACCCTAAGCCCTGTTCCCAGACCCCCGGGAGGATCTAGAAAGTAGATCCCCTAATTTGGGGTCCTATACTACTAAGGGTACTTTATAGGAACCCCCATTAAGGGATCTACTTTTTGGATCCTCCCGGGGGTCTGGGTTTAGGGTTTAGGATATATACTATTTGGGTACATGGACCCTTAGGGTATACTTATCATTGGGGTTTTCCAAAAATAGGGGACCCGAATATAGTACCCCGAATAGTAGGATCCTTGTTATAAGCTACCCCTGTACCCCCCTAATTTTCGGAAGCTCCCGATTGGATTCAGGGTTCAGGGCGTTGGGGCTCCCCTGGACCCTAGAAACCTATACCTTCCCCAGGGGCTTACACAAGGAAATCATAATGAGGAACCCTGCAAAGGTAGGATGCCCAGTAGTACCCTTATTCCTTTTTTGTAGTCCTAGGTTCCTTATAAAGTTACCCAATACCAAAAAGAGAGGCCTTTTTATTCTTAGCTTACTGCGAACCCTGCAAAGGTAGGTTCTTTAGGGCTTTAGGGCCGGGGGCTTCATGCTCCCTCTGAGTCGTCATCTTGGACTCTTTGCTTCTCCTGCTCCTCCCAGGCAGCATTGGCTTAGCAGTAGAGTAGGTAACCTTTAACCTTTCTTGGGTAGTATAGTCCCTATATAATCCCTATAAAACCAAAACGGCTAACCTTTAGTTCCCCGTGATTCCCGACAAGTAGGTCTTCTTCCCGAAATCTAGCACTATCCCAATCCCTTAGGGCCTCAACCGCGAGGTGCGGTGAAGCAGAACATGCCCGAAGGCGGGGCACCATCGAGCAGGTTGGAAGGTTGCGACGCCGTTTCGACATCTGCCCTGGTGTATCGTGTTTGGTTTGGTTTGATGTGCACTCTGTGCTTCGACATCCACAGCGAGGTTCGCAAGTAGTGCCCTTTTGTCCTATTTGTGAAAGGGTCCCTGATTAAAGCCGAAAATTTACAAGGAACAAGTGGCACCCTTATGACTACGATATGCATTCCTGTGCTTCGACATGCGGGGTCTATTGAGGAAAGGCGCCATCAGTTTTGGGCTCACGGCTGTAATGTGAGTTCAGGCTCTGGGGGCCTGCCTTCGTAAGTCTTTCATTCTGTTGTTATGCAGCGATCTTCATAAGAGACCCTGTGTGCACGAAACACTTCGAGCTCTGTCTCACAGAGTTAGCAGGTGCAGCTAAAGGAAACTCCAGAAAGTTGGAATATGGTTTCATGGTAGGATGCCCTATAATTTACCATAGAAGGGTTAGGATAATCATATTCCAACTTTCTGGCTTTTACCATAAAGTGTAACAGCAGAGGCGCTGGCCTCCTTGTTCGCCGCAGGGGTCGCATCATGATTGTCATTACTGCTATTCTTCTTGTTTTGATTCGTGGTAGTAGTAGTAGTAGTAGTAGTAGTAGTAGTAGTAGTAGTAGTAGTAGTAGTAGTAGTAGTAGCAGTAGCAGCAGCAGCAGCAGCAGCAGCAGCAGCAGTAGTAGTAGTAGTGTACCCAAGTAAACCTAAGAGGTATTGTCATACCCTAAAACCTAAAATCTGAACCCTAAGCCCTGTTCCCAGACCCCCGGGAGGATCTAGAAAGTAGATCCCCTAATTTGGGGTCCTGTACTACTAAGGGTACTTTATAGGAACCCCCATTAAGGGATCTACTTTTTGGATCCTCCCGGGGGTCTGGGTAAACTCCCCTCCAGTATAGCTTTTTCAGGAACCCTTAAAGGAACCCTTACAAAGCCCCTTGATCCCTTCATGAACCCTATAAGGAACCCCCTTGCTCCTCAGAACCCTTTAAGGAACTCTTTAAGGAACCCCCCCTATACAGCCCCTGAAAGAGCAGCTTCAAGTCCCCTTGTAGCCCCTTAAAGAAAGGCTTTAAGGAACCTGTTAAGGACCCCCTTTAAAGCCCCCCTTAACCCTGAACCCCAAAGCCTTGTAGAACCATAAGCACGACATGAACACCCCCTTATGAAGCCCCTCGGAACCCTTTCAAGAAACCCCTTTAAGGAATCTCTCCCCTTGCAGACCCTGGTAACATTACTATTATTATTTTTAGTATGTTATTGTTGTTGTCGACGATGTTCTCGGCTCAGGGCCTGTTGCCACGAGACCAACGAAGCTGTTCATTGGAGGCACATTGTGGGCTACTTGGAGGATCTTGGGACTTAGGGTTCCTTAAAGGGTTATTTAAAGGGCTCCTTTTAAAGGGATCTATAAGGGATCTACAGGTGTTTAGGGTCTACTTGGAGGATCATGGGACTTAGTAACTAGGGTTATAAATTAGGATAACTATACATATAACTACTTATAACCCCAATTAAGGCATTAAGGGTCCATCTTGTGCCAAAGAGCCTGTGACGGATCCAAAGCTGGGAAAGTTTCAGGGCTCTTGAAGAAGACTTCGAAAGTATCGACTCTGAACCCTCAACCCTAAATAGGCCCTAAATGTCACGAAGACCCAGAGCCTCCAAAACCCCTTAATTAAGGAATATACCTTAAAGTATAGTAGGATTCATAATATGATTTAAGGTATATTCCTTAATTAAGGGGTTTTGGAGGCTCTGGGGAAGTGCTAGATGTCATTCGGCCGTGAAACTTCATCTGTGGCAGGCATCACCCGTAACACAACGTGGCACGCTCAGCCTTTCCGTCGCTGGGGCATCAGTGTGTTGCTGCTTGTCTGCTTGTCTCAGGACCAAGCAGCTCCGGGATCACTTCTCTGCCTTCGGACGCGTCCTGGATTGTGCACTCCACTCAGCGGTTGACGCACATAAGGGATAGACCAGCATTGCCGCATTCCCTGCCTGACACAAGCTGGGAGTCCTTCGCGAACTGGCCAGTGCCTGTGCCTGACTGTCTTGTCGAGGTGGCGATGCGCCAGCCGGATGGACGGCCACGTGACGCCCTCGAGTTTGGTTCCCTCGAGATTGCTTTGCTAGGTCCGCTGGGTTGGAGCGCCCCAGCTGCTTCGAAAGCACCATGGAAAGCCACGTGGACCCGAGGTGGCTTCGGCTACGTGACGCTGGATTCTCCACAGGCCGCCTGACTGAAGAACGACGGGACTCGCTCGAGCACTGCCTCCGCGCCACTGCTCTTTGAGGCTGCCGAGCTGTGCCTCGCAGCACCACAGGTCATCGATGGTCGGGTGGGGCCCCGCAGAGTGCACCGCTTCACTTCTTCTGGAAGACAGGAACCTCAAGGGCGGAGACTAATTACACAGTTTACTCTCGGATCTCTGTGGTTCGAGTCTCTGGAGATCCCAATGAGGTTGTGGACATGAAGCGCGCAGTTCCGGAGGGCGACATGGAATCTGCCCCGACCACGAGGCAAACTGCGAGCTTCAGTGACGAATTAAGACCCTACACTTGAAACCCTAGGCTCTACCTAGACCCCCAAAAGTAGGTAAAATAATGGCCCAAACCCTATAGAGAGCTATTATTCTGCATACTTTTGGGGGTCCAGGTGGGCCCTAAACCGCTGCATGCTCATGACGCGGCTGTGTGGAGCAGACGTTGCCCAGCCTGCCTCGAGCCCTTGAAGCCCCTAAACCGCAACGGAAAGGTTGCGGCCCACGGATGTTGCATCTACATGTGTGTCAGAAAATGTTCAGTTTAATAATATTCAACACATATCAACTATATGTATATATATATATATATATGTATTTACATGTTAAGTAAAACCATACATATACATATATATATAGAGAGAGAGAGAGAGAGTTTTTTGCAAGTGTATATGTATAGTATATGTATTTTTTTATTCGGACACACTCTATAATCTAAGCGGTTTAGGGTTTAGGGGTTTTTAGGGGTTTAGGGGTTCTTCCTTCCTCCCCTCTGCAAGGCTCCACACGCCGGGGGCCACGCGCCTGCCGCCGGGGCTTGTGACAGGACCAGGCCCGGCTGGCGGTCCGAGGGTCCCTTTAAAGGGGATCTATAGGGATCCCTTTAAAGGGATCTATGGGGGTCCCTTTAAGGGGATCTATAGGGGTCCCTTTAAAGGGGATCTATAGGGGTCCCTTTAAAGAGGGGTCCCTTTAAAGGGATCTATGGGGGTCCCTTTAAAGGGATCTATGGGGGTCCCTTTAAAGGGATCTATGGGGGTTCCTTTAAGGGGATCTATAGGGGTTCCTTAAAGGGGATCTTTAGGGTTTAGACCCTAACAACCCTGCAAACCCTACTTGGAGGATCTTGGGACTTAGGGTTCCTTAAAGGGTTATTTAAAGGGCTCCTTTTACAGGGATCTATAAGGGATCTACAGGTGTTTAGGGTCTACTTGGAGGATCATGGGACTTAGTAACTAGGGTTATAAATAAGGTAACTATACTTATAACTCCAGGGCACTTATAACCTTACTTACTAAGTCCCATGATCCTCCAAGAACCCAGAGACTCCAAAACCCCTTAATTAAGGAATATACTCATTAAGGGATCCCTAAGGGGATTTATAAGGGTTCTGTAAGGGCATTCAGGAATATAGCGCGGTCGCAATTGGAATATACCTTAAAAAATCACAGCATCCATAATATGGTTTAAAGTATATTCATTGTTTAAGGCGTTGTGGAGTCTCTGGGAAGTTTAGTTTGAGTACTGCTTAAGGGTTCATGGGAGTTAGTAACTTGGGTTATAATATAAATAAGGCAACTATACCAAAGAAGCTGAGTTTGGGTGGTTTAAGGGTTTGCGGGATTGGGTTTAGGGTTTACAGTGCCTGCAAGTTTTCTTTTACAGGCGTTCCTTTACGAGTTCTGAAAGGATTCCTTTTCGGGGTTGTTTCAGAGTACTACAAGGGTTTCGGTTGGGTACTGCCCCCACTCAGTAGCACCTAGACAAAATTTATAATATGATTGTATACAGCCCTTACCATGATGACTAACAAGACTGTTGCATGGCTAGTAACTCTATTTTTTGACTACCTAACTACCTATCTATCCATCTACCTACCGGCCTATCTAAATATGCATGTGTATGTGAGAAGTATGTGTATGTGCATGTGCATGTGTATGTCGATGTCTACGTGTACGTGTATGTGCATGCATATGCATATGCATATGCATATTCATGTATGTGTATGTGCATGTGTATGCATTAGTGTATAGTGTATGGTGTATAGCGGAAACTGTACAGCGTATAGTGTACAGTGCACATTGTACATGTGCATGTATGTGCGTTTGCATGTGCATGGGCATAGGTGTGTGTGTGTATATATATATATATATATATATATATACATACATACATATATATATATATACATATATATATATATATAATATATATATATATATATATATATATATATATACATACATATATATATATATATATACATATATATGTATACATATATGTACACATAGTTTGACTATAGTATCCCCCACAACCCCCAACATGATTTTGAAGGTCCCAAAACAGGACAACCCTGCCTCAGACGAGCCCACCAGGCCCTGCCGCGCCGCGCGGTGCTCCCGGTCTCACAGCAGGAGCCCTCGTGTTCGGCTCGCGCAGTTGGATAGGTGAGCACTTGTTCGGATAGGGTTGTAGGATTCACCGGGGATGGCCGAGTAGGGCCGTACGAAGAGAACAATCTCTTCAGAACCAGATCTGGGAAAAATGACCAGATCTTGTCACATTCCTGACCACGATGCTCACACCACCTGTAGGTTCCACCTCGTACCCGGTGCACTGCCGATTCCATTGGCAATCTGTCGTGAAGAAGTGCAGCTCTTGCTGCAAGTTGGCACTGAACCACCTTCAATTCAAGAGCTGTGCTGGTCGCATGGCAGGCTTTGGAAACCCTCTGCTGTCGAAGTCGTGTCCGTTTAGATGAGCGCGACCGTGAGCCTTCTTGCCAAGCAGATCGTCTGAGCATGCTGCATGCAACGGAAACTGTCTTAAGAAACACTGCAGACATGTGGGTAGTTCTTCAACTCAGGGTCCCTTCCAGGGCTCTTTTTTTTTGAAGGGTGCTGCACTAATTTGGTGACTTTAAAAGTGACCCGAACTTCGGGAAGTACTCTTGTAGCACCTTGAAGAAACCCTATAGAAACCCGTTAAGGAGCCTCTTGTTTAAAGGGGCCCGAATTTCGAGAACTACCCCATCTGTTCTATCTTTTCCGCGAGCCACTTCGTAAGCTCAGCTGAGAGGACCCGTGAAGCCGGTGCCAGCACCAAGACTGGCCGGGACTCCTACCCCATAAGGTAAAAGCCAGAAAGTTGGAATATGATTATCCTAATCCTTCTATGGTAGATTATAGGGTATCCTACCATGAAACCATATTCCAACTTTCTGGAGTTCCCCATAATGGGCTATATAGTGGGTATATAATAGCTATATTAGGGGTATATACCTAGGGGTCCTTATTAAGGGTCCCTCCGGGACTCCTGGTTTGGGGATTTGGGTTTCGGGTTCAGCTTTTTGGGTAGCATTTGGGTAGGGTTTTAGGGTTTTGGGTTTCGGGCTTATTTCTACAGGGATTAGATTTCGGTTGAGGGAGTAGTGTTTCGGGATTCGGGTTTGGGATTTAGGGCCCGAGGGATGCAGGCAGGGAGCAGGGTAGAGCTGTAAAATGGCCGAATTTTGGAAGCTGTGATGGCAAAGCCCATGTGCAACACCACTCAGGCTCTCAGTGCGATGATGGACCTGTGCAATCCCATCCCGGAGGCCGGCGATGGACGCATGGGATTTCAGAGCGTTTCTGAGCGTCCACTGCCCGACAGACCCCTGCAACGCTGGCCTGGGACCATTCAGATAGTGTGCCAGCGTCCTGGCAGCAAGTCTACTGCGGCTTATTGGGGTTTAGGAAGGGTCTGTGCGCTGAAACTCTACAGTGAAAACCCTGTATAAGAACCCCGTTCGGCGAGAGTAGCCTACCTCAAGGTTCTGAATCTCCATTACATGTGATTTTGCCGGTCGAGCAGCTAGTTTAGGCTGAGGTTCCCAACCACGTTCTTATCAGGAGCGTGATTGACACCTTGACTGAGGGCTCTCAGGAAATTTACTTTCGGATTCTAAATTTCCTTGCTGGGGGGCAGCGGGCCATGGGGATCTGGAAAATTTAGCTTTCAATTCTTCTAGGATGCCCAGTAGTACCGTTCTTCCCTTTTTGTAGTCCTAGGTTCCTTATAAAGCTACCCAATACCCAAAAAAAGACAGGCCTTTTTATTCATAGCTTTCTGGGTATCCCAGTAAGTCTTAGTTTCCACAGCTCTTCGAAAAGGACTCGGGGCGGAGGTCGGGAGGCTGGAGGTTTGGAAAATTTACCAGGGCCCTCCTTGTACCCTCAAATAGGGGTCTATGGTCCCAAGTTAGGGGCATTTCGGGTCTAATAGAGGGCAGTTGGAGGGTCCAGGTAGTTTTCAATTCTAAATTTCCAGAACCTGACACCACTGCGCTGTGGCATACCTGTCTATAGCCGGCCAACATAGGCTCCTTATGCTCGGGCAGAGGGTTTCTTGATGTGGAGGGTTGGGACATTTCGTTTTCGATTCGAAATTCCCTTAGTGAGAGAACGAACCCAAACAATTAAGAACCTGACCCAAAAAACTAGGGTACCCTGAGATTCTTAATGTTGAAGCAATTTGAATCTAGTGAATTCCGCCTGGGTAGGGGCTCAGGTTCTGAAACAGTGGGTTCTTATACAGTGTTTTCACTGTACTGCGGTCAGAGCACAGTGCTTGACCAGAGTCGAGAAGCTCTGTCCTCATGCACCGGCTGCTTCGCAGAGGTTGCCCATGTTTTGCCCAGCTTGGCTTCCGAAGCCCTAAACCCCAAGCCCTATAAACCCTCAACCATAACTCCTACCGTAAGCGGAGGACTGCCTGGCGCTGCTCTCGACGCGGCCCGAAGACCTTTGCTTGCCTGACACGCCAAGGCGTTCGCTGCACAGAGAAGTTCTTACGCCAGCGCTTCTTGTGACGGTCTGTGGGGCCCGAGTCTAGTCATGCTCTCCTAGACCCTAAACCCCTAACCGCTTAAACCCCTAAACCCTAAGCCTTCGCGTGAGGGTTGCACTGCCACTGCTCGTATGAAAGACTGGGTGGCAGGGGCCCGAACAGCTTCCTCTCGGTCGCTCGGCTGCGAAAGAGACTCAAGATATCACCAGGGTTAAGGGTTTTGGAAGATGGAGCTGAGGAGAAGTGCACTTGTGTGGTCAGGTATCAGTCCAAGGGCATTGCAGTTAATTCCCAAAGTAGCGACAGCCTGAACCGCCCCACGCCCTAAACCCTAATGTAGGAAGCTGATTAAGAAACCCTGGGCCTATAACCCCAAAATAGTAGGATTCATATAAGGCACCCTAATAAAGGCCCAAGGTTTTTAATCAGGTGCCTACATTACTATAGTACGCTTAGAGATCCCTTATAGATCCCTTATAGTAACCCTTATAGACCCCGCTTTAAAGGAACCCTAATAAAGGCCCCGTTCCTACAGTATCTGGGGACTTACTAACTGGTTATTTTAGGGACTTATAAGTACCATAACCCCAATTAGGAGCCCTTTTAGGGTACTTATAAGTCTACTTACTACCTACTTACTAAGTCCCCCGACCCTCCAAGTAAGCCCAAAGCCCCAGGCCAGTGCGCCGGAGTTTGTGCCTGGCCCCGTTCTTGGAGAGCTGCCGAAGGTCCCAAACCAAGCGGCGCCTTGGGACATGTCAATGTAGGAATCGCTTCCAGGGTTTAGGGCCGGAGGTTGGAGGTTTCTAGAACATCGTGTTTCGGGTTGTTGATAGGGCCTTTGAATGTTTTGAATCATAAGCTCTGTTGAAAGAATGCCTGCTTCCTTCGCCCCAATCGCAATGACGATGGTTGCCTCACCTTGCCACCCGAACCCCAACAGTACCCTCTTGATGGCAGTCTTCAGCCCCAATCCAGACAAAAAGCACCCTGTGTGACCCCCGCTATAAAGCCCCCCCTATAAAGCCCCGGTAACACCCTTGTCCAAAACCAAGCCCTAAACCCAGTATAGCACCCTCCACCCCTAACTATGTATATATATATATATATATATATGTATATGTATATATATATATACATATATAATATATACGTCCATGTATATGTATGTGTCTTTGTATGTGTATGCATATTTATATGATGTGTGAGTATGTGTATGAGTATGTGCATTTCTATATGTATCTGTATGTGTATATGCCATTATGCATATGTATATGTATATCTGTATGGTACGCATATGTATACGCATGTGCCAATGTCTAAGCCTACAGTGTATGTCTATGCCATGTGTATGTGCTTGAGTATGTATATGCGCATGCGTGTATGCGTATGCGTATGTATGGATGTATGTGTATGTGTATGTGTACGTGTGTGTATGGTATGTGTGTGTGGGTAAATGTCTATGCATATGCATATGCATACGCGTGTGCGCATGCAAGCATGCATGCATGTATGTATGCATGTATGTATATACACATATAAGTCTAAGCATACATGTATATGTAGATGTGGATAGCAACCCTGAGAGTCTGAAAGCATGAGAGCATCACTGATACAACCAGCGGGGGAACCTTGAAAATCAGCCCTTCAAGGGAGCCCGTTCTTCTTTAAAGGTTCCTTTAAGTGGTCCTTCAAGAAACCCGTGCGCAGGGTTCCCTTCCTTAAGGGAACCGGAATTCTTGGGGAACCCTTAGTAGTTCCCTCAAGGGTTTTCTGTTAGGGCTCCCGGAAGGGAAATTTTTAAGCCCCCCTTAAGCGAGTTCCTTTTTGAGTTGCCCTTAAGGGAACCCGTAAGGTTCCTTGAAGTTCCCTGAAGGGCCCAGAGACTCCAAAACCCCTGAAATAAGGAATATACCTTAAATCATATTAGGGGTCCTACTATAATTTAAGGTAAATTCCTTAATTTGAAACGCTGCGCGTCGTCCGCCTCGGCCCGGCTGTACGCGCATGCGGCGAGTGGCTCCTGTCTGCAGCAAGCTCTTGTAGGAAAAAAGTAACAGTTGGAATCGCACTTCTTGTAAAAGTAATGTTCATAGCAACACGAAGCAGGATGATTATGAGTAGTATTAGTAGTGGTAGTATCAGTACCAATTTTGGTGTCGTCATTCCGAAACACTGGATACCAAGACTCTCGCAAGCGGCGGGATGCCTTAAGTATGGGCCGTTGAGGCTGTGCGTCTTGGATTAGGGAAGCATCACAGCCTTTTCAACCACGTTACTCCGCCTATCCCAACGAAAGGGCGTCTAAAACAAGCCTGAGACGTATATAAAGATGCTACATTGCAGTCCCGTGTCGTCGAAAACTCCAGAAAGCTCGCACCTGTCAGCGAGCGGAGGAGGAGCGGGAGGGAAGGGGGAGTGGGGGGGGCGGGAGGGGGGGAGGGGGGGGGGTGTGCCGATACACCCACAAGGAATACTCCTTGTTAGGAGGTGTATGACCAGTTATTCCCTAAGGATCAAAGGGCAGCGCCCTGCACACGGACAGTAGTTGTTTTGTCTTGCTACGCAAGGAGAGCTTGTCTTGTCTCAATATGGTAAAACCACTGTGAGCCACTGGGCAGCGGAATGTATATGTATGAGCATGCAGCCATTGCTGTAGGTACCTGTTAGAGCTACCCCTTTAGAGGTTTATGGTTTCAAACAGACACTAATTTTCTTTTACCGGAAGCATGGCCGCACATTCACACATATACTATTATGCCCACTGGCACAGTTGCGGAGTCTGGACTCATGATGAAAACAGCATATTATTTAAGCTAGGTATAGCACTGAAGTACACTGCTGAGGACACTCCTTTTGCACACACTCATGCATGTTGGTCAGAGAGATCGTCTTTACAAGATCATGTCTGGTGATATTTTCTACATCGAATTATGCAGCCCTTCACTTTGCTCTTGTTAGAGCTTTGTGAGTCACTGTTGTGAAACTCCGAGATTTTCCTTATCTCAGATTTGGATCCAGGTTTGGATCATAGGCTCGAGCGTAGACTTTCGGATGTGGCTCATCCGGGTCTGAGTGATCTTCTTCGGAACTTGAATAAATTCCGAGTAGTCTGTTCTCAGCCCTGGTGAAGGCGGCGTCTGCAGTATCATATCCGTGGTTGGATGTTGTCGCCTTTGGCTCGGCCTTTGGCGCAGCTTGTGAGCTGACTGGAGTTGCCTTGGCTTTAGCCGGTTGTGGCTGCTTAGCCTTTGCCCGTTCAGCCCTTCTTCTTTCAAGCTGGCCGTCTGAGGACGCCCATGATCTTTCACTTTCATCTCCTGAAGGAGATAAGGCGTGGGCATAAAGGCTATTCCAGTACTGTGCTGCAGAAGGAGTTAGAACTTCTTCATTGTCAGATTCTGACTGGTCTTCCTCAGAGCTTTGGTCGTCAAAGAGTGTCTCGAGGACATTTTTGAGATTGTTATTTCTTCGCTCTATCTCTAGTGAGAAATGGACCAATTGGTTAAAGACTGTCCTTGAGTCCTTCAGTGCTGTTAGAAGGATTTCCACTCTGGATAGAGTATCTTGGATGGTGGCAAGATGTTCCTTCCTTTCCTCCTTGTCTCTCTGGATAGAGCTTCGCAATGATTGTGCGATTCTGAGGAGGTCTGTGTATTTCGCAAGAGGCATAGTTACCGTTTGATTGTCATGTATGACAGTTGTTTCGTCGCCACTTAAGTTCCTGAATAGGACTTCCACGACTGGTAGAAACTCCGTTCTCCACGGTTCCTCTTCATCATATGTTTCTACGTGCTGTAGCACGCGTTGTGTAAACTGATCGGCTGCTTCTACCGTTGCATCGATAGAGCTGACGTGTCTTGCTGCCATGTTTCGGCAAGTAATGTTAATTGCCTGGCCTTGATTGGCTTCGTTAAGTGCAGCGTCTGCATAGGTGCAGAGTCCACTGTTGTGGT